GGATCAGACTGCTGCGCACTGGGAGTTTGACTGACAGCACTGTCACACCTGGAGTGGATCAGACTGCTGCGCACTGGGAGTCTGACTGACAGCACTGTCACACCTGGAGCGGATCAGACTGCTGCGCACTGGGAGTCTGACTGACAATGCTCTGGGAAGCTGGTCGCTGTCTCGCTCGGTAACGGGCCCGGTGGGAGGCCTTCTTGTGTGCAGCAGGGGGAGAGTGTGGGATCAGAATCCCCTGTATTGGATTTCGGTCCTGGATGATGGGTAGCAAGGACGTCCTCGCCACTAGGAAAGGAAGCAGGCGGCACGACCTTGGGCGGCTTTCACCTCCTGGCGTGTTGACACAGGAGGAGTGGCACAGGTGGCGCCCAGCCCGCGGAGAGCGGAGGAGACCAAGGGGACAGCGCCGCGTCCTCTGCCGCCACCGCCGCCTTCTCCCCTTCAAGAACACAAGAGGGCGCCAGAGCGGCAGGCCGGAGCTTGGCCGCTCTGGTCTGGCTGCGCTCGCGAACCCGAGCTCCCAGGTTTCCCAGCTCTCGCCACTTTCTCAGGGAGAGACCGAGAAGGAGGGGCTGCACGCGGCCCCTGTCCTTCCCGGCGTGCAGGGTCGTCACCCCCCCTCCCCTCTCCAGTAACATCTCCACGGAGACGGACACGAGCAGCAGCTTGGTTTTTCATCTCGCTTCTCGGCCTCGGGAGCCGGAGCCCGGTCTCGGCGCTCAGCGGCGCTACCCGGTTGCCAGCCTGGCATTTCCGGGGGGAGTTGTTCCGTCGCGGAGGATGAAAGGGTTCTCGGCGGCGTGCCCTTTGCTCGTCTTTGTGCTTCGTGCTGCCGCCTGTCTGCGCCCGCCTGTGTCCTTGGCGTCCGGGAGCGTCTCCCTCCACATCAAAGCCTCCTGGGAAATCCCCCCCCCCACCCCCCCATTCCAGGGGCGTTTTTTTTAGAGGGCTTTGAAGGCGGCCCCTCCAGCGGCTCAGCCAGGGGGTTGACGTCTGCGTGTCCGAATCCTGAAGAGCGCGGTTCTTCGCCGTTCGGCTGCCTGCTCCAGGCCTCGGCCCGCTGCGCCGCCGTCTGGCATCTGACTTCCTGTCGCGGCGTTTCTCCTCTGTCCCCCCTCGCCCCTCTCCTCCCCGTTTCCCTCCAGCCGTGATGTCTGGTATCTGCGTGGTGAAATACCGGACCGGTCCCTTTCTCGTCACTTTTGAACGAGGCAGGATGGAACGACAGCAAGACGGAGGGGGGTGGGAGTTTTGAGAAGCGGGCAGCCGGCAGCGTGCTGAGGACAGTGGGGGGGGGCAGTGTTGAGCCTGTGGAAGAGAGGGGCCTGCTGGGATGGGAGCCGCCTGGGGGGCTGACGTGCAGGGGCACTTGCTGGTTGGGGCGGCCCCGCCTGCATATCGGGGCGCGCTAATCCAAGCTGGCCGGGGGGGGGAGGGGTGCCTGTGCTCCCCGAGCAGTGCTGGCCAGCATGGGGACCCCCGCCCCCGATGGGCTGCCAGCGAGGGGAGGCGCCTCGGCCTGTGGCTCCTCCTGTCCGCTCTGGAGACCCACCTCCTTGAGGGTGTTCCGTGTGTCAGGGGTGCGAGGGGCTGGGCTGTGTGGGGTTCTGGGGGTCGCGCCGGGCCCAACGGCTTTATCGTTTGGCTTTATCTCCGAGCCGCGGGGCTTTAGGGTGTAGGCCAGGCTCGTACCCGAGGTCACTGGGGCTTTTCCAACTTTCCCTTAAAGGGAGAGAGAGGGGGTCCGTGACCCCGGCGTGCACAGATCTCCCCTGACACGAGGGCAAAGCGTCTCGGCCGCGCTCGTTGTGATGGCGGGGGCGGTTCGGCCGGCGTCTCCGGGCGCCCTGCTGCTGGGAGTCGAGAGCAGGCTCCCCCACGATGACTGTGAGTGTCCGTGCCTGCCGGTTTGCAGGCTGGCAGGGAACGAGGCTCCGCATTCTCCGAGACTCTGAACCAAAAGAAACGGGGCGCCGGCAGTGGGCGCGTTTGTTCTTCCAGATCCCCTCCGTCCTGCTGCTGCGCCGGAGCGCGGCCGTGTGGAGTGTGTGTGTGCGTGCTCGCTCGCGCGCGGGGCAGGGCTGGAGGGGTGTGGCGGAGAGCGCGTGTCTCTTGTCTGCTGGAGAGGAAGGGGGGGGCAGGCCGCCTTGCTGCAGTGGTTCATTACTATGCTGGAGATGTCTCTGCTGCTCCGCTGAAGGTGTGTGTCGGCAGGCGGGCTCTGGAGTCTGTCCGTGCTCGGAGTGTGTGTGTGTGCGCGCTCTCTCCTGCATGCGTCTGGCTGAATCTGTAGCCGTGCAGGTGTGCGCGTGCATGCGTGTGTTTCTACATGCGTGTGCTAAGGCACCCATCTGCATTCTGATGAGGATGGTCTGCCCGATGAAGAACACCGTGAAGCTGCGCCTCTCGTGGCGTGAAGGAGTTTGTGTGTGTGTGTGGGGGGGTACTGACCTTTGACCTCTGCCCCCTGCCCCCATCCCGAGATCGCAGTCCTGGAGCTGTTCTGAGTGTCTCAGGGGACCAGATTTCACCCTCCCCAGCTCAGGCCAGCACCAGTAACAGACTTCCAGCGACCCAGTGAATAATAATGCATTAACGACACCCCTGCGGACCCTAACCCGAAAGCAACCTGGGATGGCTGAGGCGGGGGGGGTGTGTGATGCTCATCTCCGCGCTCTGCTGCTTCTCTCTGGCTGCCTGCGGCCTCCCCCGGCCCCCCCCCCCACAGCCCTGGCGGCGGCCTATCCCCCGGAGTCTGAGACACAGCAGGAGCCAGAGAGGCCTCTGGGACAGGGCGCCCAGCAGCACGGCTCCCTGGACCGGCCTCCGGTCCCGCAGGATGACCAGGGATGGCCTCCAAGGAAAACCAGGCTGCTGCTGTTAACACTGGACCAGCAGGTGGCGCTCTTGCCTCTGCAGAGGAACCAGAGTATCCAAACCTGTTCCAGTGCGGGCCTGTGGAAGTGGGTTATTGAAGGTCCCAGGGCTGTTGGCAGGCGCAGGACTGTTAACCTTGGTGTCTTGGCTGGATTTTGGGCTCCACAACACTTCAGGATGAAAAGCATTATGCTAATGAAAACCATGAATGCAGTGCCAGTGCTCGCTCAGTTTTGTGTTTGTGGTTGTATCTAGTTCTGTGCTGCTCTTTCTTGCCTTTCTGTTTGCTCTCAGCTCTCCTCTCTCTTCCTCTCATGATAGAGGAAATTCCATTTTTTTCTTCAAGCTTAATGGTTTAACTCCATGCGTCTGCCTGTGTAGATTCTCTCAAAGTGATGTAGGAGGCATGATGAATCCAGTTCAGTGCTGGCTTCTGCAGTGGGGCTTTGCAGCTCAGAAAGCCTGGAGTGGATCTGTCTGCGGTGTTACATGGAGCCTGCTTGATAGCGCTTTAAAACCTGGACTGGATCAAGCTGCTCTATAGGGGAGCCTCGCTGACCGCGTCATAAATCCCAGAGTAGCCTTACCTTCAGCGCTTGTCTCTTCTCTGCTGGGGGCTGTCGTCGTCCTGGCCAGACTGGTGAGATGTGCAAAATGAACTTTGATTTCTTTGTTTTTCCCTTGCAGATCGCCTGTGGCTCAGAGCACAACCTGGCCATAGTGGGTGAGTCATTTCCTCCATTTGTCCGGGCGAACGCTCGTGAGTTGACCCCCCCCCCCAGCAGTGTGTGGGTTGTGGAAACTTCTGTAGGACAGCTGTGAAGGTTGCAGGTTCAAATCCCGCGGCCGGCAGAGGAATCCTACTCTGTTGGGCCCCTGAGCAAGGCCCTACACCCCAACTGCTCCAATGGCTGACCCTGCGCTCTGACCCCCAGCTTCTCTCCCTGTCTGTGTGTCTCATGGAGAGCAAGCTGGGGTCTGCGAAAAGACAAATTCCTAATGCAAGCGATTGTATATGGCCAATAAAGTGATCTTGATCTGGAAGGACTGCACTGCAGCCAGTTGGAGAGAAAGGTGCAAAGCACATGTCCAGGCAGGGTAGTGAGACAAGGGTATTGCTTATCCCTGCTGCTGTGGCAGGAGCACAATGAGTTTGCCTCTCCTCACTGGGTCACTAGGAAACTGGGCCCTGATGCCCTGGGACCTGCATAGCAATTACACTCTTCTAATTCTTGTAAAGATTTGCAGACACCAGGAGCAGAGAGACTCTGGACAGTGCTGCTCTCTGTGATCCATGGATCACTGATCTCTCTGCACACCTGAAGACGGAGGGAGAGTCTTCATTATCCCCAGGGGGGCAAGTTGTTTTACAGCAGCAGTGCTGGTGTACAGACAGACAGAAGAAACAAAATGACAGGAGTGTTGAGTGTTGAGTGTTGAGTAATGGCTACAGGTATGAATGAGAACTTCAGTCTGTTGAGTCTGCAGTTGGGGAGTCGGTATCTGCGTTCTGATGGGAGTAACTGGAGATTTCGAATCAAGGGGTGTTAAGGATCGTCACAGATGGATTTTGCTTTACGCAAAACACGTCTCTGATAGATGGAGGAGAGGAGAGGAAGATCAACACCAGGCACCTCCTGAGATCTCTTCACCAGGCTGCCCGGTGTGTTCCTGCCTCTCAGACTCAGGCTGCCGAACCAGCAGATCAGGGTGAAAGTGAGAACAGATTCCAGGAAGGACAGCCGGGACAAAATCGACGCCGAATCGTCGACCTTAAAACGCTCGAGCTTCTTTAAAGAAAACAAGACGCTGTTTTAGAGGGTTCTCCAAGACTCTGCTTCTCGAGCAAGCGCTGATCTGAAAAATGAGTCCTCTGCCTGCCTTTGATAACTTGTGGGGGAGGCTGGGGCTCATCGGTGTGGTTCTGTGGCTCTCGTGTAATGAACAGGCCGGGAGCAGAAGGTGGATGTGTACCCCGTGCGGTCGGGTGGTGTCACCCTGCACCCCAGCTCCGTGTGAGCCCCTCACAGGGGGCTCAGATCCTTCACCTCAGCCCCTGCTCTTCCCGTCCGGCCTGCCTGCTGTGGGGCGGCAGGCGGTTCGTCCCCAGGCCAGCGAGAGATTGGAGCTTGCCCTGTCCGGTGGTCCTGAGAGGGTATGGGGGGCTGATGGGGGTGCTCTGTTCACTGCCCCGGGGACCAGCGATTCGCTTTCCCCGTTTCCCTTTCCCTCTTCTCCCGATTTTCACCCCTCCATTCCTCTGGCACGCCTGCTTCTTCTGAAATTCCATCCAGTTTGTTTATATGTACTGGTCCCCTTCTGGAGCTGCCTGTTGTTTCGGGGTGACAAAGAGCGAGAGATGGGGTGACGCTCCTCTGAGCTTCACAGTGACCGCAGACTGACCGCCCTCACTGTCCACACTGGCGCAGGCCGTGAGCTTCACGGTGACCGCAGACTGACCGCCCTCACTGTCCACAATGCTGCAGGCCGTGAGCTTCAGGGTGACCTCAAGCTGACCGCCCAGCTTGTCCACACTGCTCGCTTCACAGTGACCGCAGACTGACCGCCCACACTGTCCACAGTGCTGCAGGCCGT